ACTTTTATTTTGATATCTTACACCACCCACTGTTTCCCTTTACCCACATTACTGTTGTTCATCCTCCTGGGGAGGGGGTGGTGGCGGGATTATACGTTGGTCATTGGAGTTGGTTTCCTGTTTCTCCCCCTTATCCCTCTGCCCTCATGGTATTGCTAGTCCCATTGCTGTTCCTGAGGAGTTTATCTGTCTTGGATTCCATGTGTCAGCTCTTATCTGTGTCAGTGTACATGCTGTAGTCTAGGCAGATTTGTAAGGTAGAACTGGGGTCATGATAGTAGGGGGCGGGGGTGGGAACATTAAAGAACTAGAGGAATGTTGGGTGTTCCATTGGTGCTGTGCTGTACCCCGTCTGTCTCGTTCTTTCTTTGTGATCCTTCTGTGAGGCAATGTCCAATTATCTACATATGGGCTTTGGGTCTCCACTCTGAACCTCATCATTTGCATTTGTTTTGGGTCTTCTGAAGCCTGATACCATATCCTGTCGACACTGCGGGATCACTCAGGCTGGTGTGTTTCTTCCATGCAGGCTTTGTTGCTACCCTGCTAGATGGCCTCTTGTTTACCTTCAAGCCTTTAAGACCTCAAATGCTTTATCCTGTAATAGCCGGGCACCATCAGCTTTCTTCATTACATTTATTTATGCACCCGTTTTGATTTAGTGATTGTTGTGGGAAGGTGAGCATCCTAGCATGCTGGGTCATTAGGACAAAGTGTTCTTGCATTGAAGGCATGCTTGACTAGAGAGACCAGTGCCCGTCTGCTACCTTAATGCTTAACATTTAATTATGTGTACCTAGCCCTATATCCCTATCGTTGTATAGTAATGTATTTATACATATGCATGCCTATATTTATACCTCTATGAATGTCTTGTCTCCTGGTTCTTTCCTCTATTTCTTTTTACTTTCCTCCTGTCCCACTTTCATGTGGGACAACTCTAAGTGCTTTATCGGCTACATTGCACTTGATCAAACCACATCAGGCATTCTACGCCCTCCTAACCATCAAATTTAGATCTCTTATTGTTCTGTTTTCCCTGGGTTTATTGGCTCCCTATTCCCTTTCTCCCACCTCTTCCTTTCTATGTCCCCCCAGAGGCATCAGCCCCATTGTTTTCTCCTCGGGATTGGTTATCCTGCCTTTCCTATATGGATAGAAATGAGAAAAAAAAATAAGCAAAAAGAAAGAAAAAGGGAAAAAAGAAAACAAAACAAAACAGAAAACAGCCCAACCTTTTAAAGTGTTCCAGGTCTCTCTGCTGACCCTTCTGAATGTTTTCCAATCTGATCTGGTGAAATGTCACTAATTAGAAATTTTTAAATAAGTTTAAAGTTTTATCAATTTTACTCTTCAAAGAACCAAGTTTTGGTTTTATTGATTTTCTCTTTTTTCCCTACCCATTTTGTCATCACTCTGTTCTTTTTTTGTTTGTTTCTCCTGCTAATTTTAACTTTTGTCTTCCACATTTTTCTTTTCCTTTGTATATTGATTGGCTTCTTTTATACCAGCAA